TTAGGCTTTAATCCAACAATATTTACGGTAACGTTTCTGTAAATCTCTGCCAAGTGCCTTCCCTTCAAGTATTAAATCTAGCAGAGAACAACTTGGTTGGCAGCATCCCTCCTTGTCTTGGCAATTTGAGTGTGATGCCATCAGATGATGAGTACCACGGACGTGTTAAATACAAATATATAGATTATGTTGACTCATTCTGGAACACTATGAAAGGATTAGACTTGGAGTATTCATCAAATCTTGTGTATGTAAAATCAATAACGCTTTCGGGAAACAACTTACATGGAGAGATTCCTGATGAGTTAATGGATTTGAAATGGCTGCAAAATTTGAACCTGTCAAGCAAAATACTTGAGTGGGAAGATCCAGGAGAGGATTGACAATTTAAAGCATCTAGAGTCTTTGGATTTGTCACCAGCTTACTGGAACTATTCCTCAAAATTTGGCCAATATTGACACCCTGAGTTATCTAAACTTGTCTTTCAACAATTTGGCAGGGCGTGTACCATCAGGGAATCATTTTGATACGTTAAATGATCCATCCATTTACGAAGGAAACATCGGACTTTGCGGTAAGCCGCTGACAAAGAGTTGTGCTGGTGATTGGCCATCAAGGGAAAATGCACTTGCAGCCTCTAATCATGGAGTTGATGAGAACGATAAGTTGGAATTCTTATGGTTTTACTCCGGTATATATAGGACCTGGTTTTGCTATTGGTTTTGTCGGAATTTTCTTTGTTCTTCATCTCAAGAAATCATGGAGACTTGCTTACTTCGGGTTTCTAGCTAGAAAGCATATGTAATAGAGCAAGAGTTGCTTTTGCTGTTAAAAAGTCAAGAGTTCCAGAGAAGGGGCAGTTAAGTACTTACCATGTATGCTGTTCCATTTTATCAATGAATGAAATTGATTTCTTTCCTGTCACTTTAAGAATTTTTTTTTCCCCCTATTAAGAAGCCACACGACTTAGTAAAAAAAACAAAAAAAAAAAAACAAAAGAACAACAGAAAAAACATCCCGGATGGCTGGATCTTTACTAAAGCCACTAAATTGTCTCATTCTATTTGGGGCACTAACAAACTATGCATTTCCCCCCGACCAGCAAAATCCAAATTTATCTAGAGAGTCGGGCTAACATTTTCTATTGACGGCCGATTTGACTAATTTTTATTAACCAATTTTTAGTTGGCAACTAATATTGTTTGGAACAGGCAAATTCATTGTCCTTTTTTAGTTTCTGAAGCAAATGCATCTTGAATAATAAAAATTTATTTAGATTATGCTGTTTGGTTCTTCTTAATTTACAGGTTTTGTTATTTCAGCGTCAGTAAATGAGGAAACTTAATTAAACTACTTAAGTTGTTTGGTTGAGTCCATGGATTGGTCCGTCAACTTCATGGTAAGTTGCTTACCTTGATCAGTAAACGATGGTGTTGGATTCATTTATTTTGGTGCAGTCTCTTAACGAATAAGTTTACAAAAATTCGTCATGTTAACCTTTTAAAATTGTGACCGTCCAAAAAAATTAGACTGTCGGATTAAAATTACACAAGCATAGGATCGTTTCATTAGAGCTCAAATTTTGTGTTCAAGAGACGTTTATTTTACCTTTAAGATATGAAAATTAGGGGATAATTCTAAGTATGCATACCACACTAGACCAAGCGTCATACTGCCCTTTGAGCAACGCAAATTCGTCAACTTAGTTGTGGAGAGATTTAATGCTATGTCCGCCAACTATATGCAAAATGTAAGCTTTGTCTCTATGAATTATCTCTCCATGCATATAATGGTCCCAAATTTTGTTTTGACTTTCCCGGAAGACTTAGCAAAATCAAATCCCCCAATACCTACAGCCTAAATCACCGTACTTATTTGGAGGAAGCAATTGTACAAACGTACATGTTTGTATAAATTGGCGAACTATATCCCTTAATTAGTTCACATGTTTATCAGATTGTATACTCCCTAGCTAGTAAACTAACAAAATTACATTGGAAGCTCTTCCTAATGGTTTCCACCTGCTCCTGTTTCTGTTCAATCTTTTCATATTAAAATTTCGGATTGGAAACATTAACCAATCCAATTTATAAATTTTCGACTTTCAAATTAGACTATTTTTTTCTAAAACAGAATAAACTACCTCATGTTCGCCCAAAGAAGTCCTCCAGTTATAAAAACATACGATATTTGCTAAACATAAGTCCCCTCCTTACACGTAAAAGATCTGCAAGTTTTCTCTTCCACCATCAATAATCAATTTTGGTGTTTGACTTCCACGAGCAATAATCACTTTCCTCAATTTTGTTCTTTCTTTGACTTCCACAATCAATAATCACTGTCCTCAATTATGTGATTTCGAAAATCAATCCCTAAAGGACCCAACTCATTTATTCAACTTACTTGGAGGGAATAAGTGGTGTGTGTATATATTGCCAACATATGTTCTTCAAGTTAATCAAACCTTTCAGGTTTCTACATATATATGTTTTCCAGTAAACCAACAAAAACAATGGAAGCTCTTCCGAGTGGTTTAGTTCTGCTCATGTTTCTTGTTCATTTAGTTTGCCTAACATTTCAGTTTGGATACGTTGAAAGTACTTCCAACCATTCAATCAATGCGAGCTGCATCGATACCGAACGGAAAGGTCTCTTGGATATCAAAGGCGCCCTGATTGATAGCGCAAATCGTTTGTCATCGTGGACAGGACGAGACTGTTGTTCCTGGGATGGTATCACCTGTGACAACATCACCGGCGTCGTGAAAATGCTTGATCTTAGTAATCTTCTGGACGACAGTTTCTTAGGAGGCAAAATACATCCATCCATACTTAATTTGGAGCACTTGGAGTATTTGGATCTTTACGGCAATAACTTTTCAGGTATTCCAATTCCATCATTTCTTGGATCCTTAAAAAATTTGCGATATCTCGACCTCTCCGATTCAAAATTTGGTGGAGAGGTTCCTCCACTTCTGGGGAATCTATCCAAATTAAAACAATTACATCTTGGTGATTCACTTTTATATTCTTTCTATTCCCCTTCTCTTCAAACTATCAAGAGTTTCAAGTGGATTTCTGGACTTACTTCTTTAGATACTCTTGATTTCTATAACATCAACATGACTGAATCTCTTGATTGGTTGTCTTCCATTACCATGCTGCCTTCCTTGTCATCATTGACAATGGTAGGTTGCGGATTAGTTGATACAGTTTCTCCTCTTGTTGGGCTTTACCTATCTCCCAATTCATTTACTTCTTCACCTCCAAATTCCTTGTGTAACCTTACTAGTCTCATTTCTATGGACTTCAGTTTTAATATGTTTGGGAGATCATTCCCTTTGTGCCTTGGGAACTTGACTTCTCTGAAAAGAATTTATCTGCAAAGCAACAAACTTGATGAAGAATTACCAAGTGATCTTGGTAATCTCAAACAGCTAACTAGATTCGATCTTTCTGATAATTATTTTAAGGGTCCGATTCCCTCAAGTTTTGGACAGCTTTCGATGATGGTATATCTCAACCTGCATGATAATCATTTGTATGGTACAATTCCTCCAACTTTGCTGAATCTTACGAAACTGGAATCCTTAGATGTTTCTTACAATTCATTGTCCGGTGAGATACGCGAATCTGGTCTTGGGGAACTCAAAAGCTTACAATATTTGGACTTGTCAAAGAACCAGTTTCTTAGTTTTAATGCGAGCTCCCAATGGATTCCTCCATTTCAGCTTTATGCACTTAACATGGATTCTGTCTTCGTTGGAACCCACTTTCCATCTTGGCTTCAATCCCAAACGAACATTGAGTCGATAATCCTTAAAAATTCCAGCATCTCTGGTTCTCTCCCTGGTTGGTGTGGAACTATTTTTTCCCATATAGAGACATTTGATGTTTCCAACAACTTCTTGACTGGGCACGTTCCTGTATTTTATTTGAATCACTCAGTAAGCTCGTTTGTTCTTAAACTTGCCAATAATCATTTAACTGGTAACATTCCCGAGGAGTTATGCAACCTGCAAGCATTAAATGTCTTATCCCTTGCCAATAACCAGCTGACCGGAAAGATTCTTCCGTGTCTTGGAAAATTAAGGAGCCTGCAGGTCTTGGATCTGGCAAATAATAGCCTCTCCGGTCAAATTCCATATACATTTGGTAACTTGGGTAGGCTTGTGGTTTTGCATTTGAATGGCAACAAGTTATTCGGTGTGCTTCCTTCGTCCTTGCGAAATTTGACAGGTTTAATCACTCTTGATCTTGGCAATAATCAGTTCAGAGACTTGGTACATGATTGGATGGGAAAAGGGTTCTCAAGTTTGCAATATCTTAGGCTTCAATCCAATGATTTTTATGGTAATATTCCAGTAAATCTCTGCCAATTGCCTTCCCTTCAAGTCCTAAATCTAGCAGACAACAACTTGGTTGGCACGATCCCTCCTTGTCTTGGCAACTTGAGTATGATGCTGTCAGATGAGTCCGGGAAAGATGTTGAATTCAATTATTTTCATTATTATGCTGAATCATTATGGAACACCGTGAAAGGGTCAGACAAGGAGTATTCCTCAAACCTTCGGTATGTAAAGTCCATAACACTTTCGGGGAACAACATACATGGTAAGATCCCTGATGAGTTAATGGATCTTAAATACTTGCAAAACTTGAACCTATCAAACAATAACTTAAGTGGGAAGATACCAGAGAGGATTGACAATTTGAGGCATTTGGAATCCCTGGATTTGTCAATGAACCAACTTTCAGGAACTATTCCACAAAGTTTAGCCAGCATAGATGCCCTGAGCTACCTAAATTTGTCATTCAACCATTTGACAGGGCGTGTACCGTCTGGGAATCATTTCAATACATTGAATGATCCTCGCATTTATGAAGGAAACAGTGGACTTTGTGGTAAGCCCCTAAAGGAGCGTTGTGCTAATGATTCAAGCGAAAATGCACCTACAGACTCTAATCGTAAAATTTATGACGATACTGATAAGTTTGAGTTCTCATGGTTTTATTATGGTATCGGACCTGGTTTTGCAATTGGTTTCTTGGGAGTTTTCTATGTTCTTCATCTTAAGAAGTCATGGAGACATGCTTACTTTAGATTGGTAGAAAACGCTTGCGACAAAGTTAGGGTAACATTTGCAGTCAGAATGTCTCAGTTCCAAAGAAGGTTCACTTAAAGACTTATTATCGCATAAATTTCTCTTTTTCTTTATCAATAAATACTCCAATTCAAACATAATCGTCGAGAATTTAAGGATTTTTCTTTTTTTTTTTTTGGTTCTTTTGTTTCAAGAAGTTCTGGAGATATGTTTATTGTGTGTCTCATGCATTGAAGCAAAGAAATGACAACATAGTTTCTTTTGAATTACGTTTTAACACATCTAATCTTATTATAATTCAATGAATGATATCTTGGTTTACATTGTCAAATTCACTGCTCTTTAATCAATGAGAAAACGAAGATATTTTCTATTTTATTGCCCATCAACTTGAATAAATTGAATTTAGAATTAATCATGAACTATCCACATGTACTCGTTAAAAAACTTAAAAAATCAGCCACTAAGCGTACATGGTGTTGTTCAAAAATTTTAAAATTAACCATGTACATATTATATACTGAATAATCTGTGGACACTATTTTCGCCAAATATACATGAGTAATGTTTCATAAAGTAGGTTAAATATTTTAAAATCAACCCCTAATTGTGGAAAATTATAAGGTCCCGTTATAGATTTTAATATATGGTCGAGTCCATATTTAATGAATAATAAAGTATCTTAAATTTCGATAAACTAAACAAAAAGTTGATATAAACTTTCCAAAATAAATACTTTGAGGAGGTTTGAAGCTTTGAAATTACAAATAACCCCATAAATTATTAATTAATTTCTTTATTTCAAGCTCTAAATTGCACACGAACTTATATGATAGCACCTTCACTGACACAACTAATATATAAAACGTTGTTTTATGCTAGTCGTTATTTTATTTGTTATATAAAACGTTGGACGTTTGCACATGCACAATCTTTTCGCATGTTAAAAAAATTATAAGCATTGCATATTTATTTGATTAAATGTGATTTCACGTTACAACAATTATCGTTGCATTCTTGCGTTGGTTACCATTGAATTATGAAATTTATACTATTTTTTATACAAATCTTAAAACTTAATATATATATATATAGTACTTTTTGGAGAAAGAGTGAATAACTTATTTAAAACATATTTCGGCAATTAGATTTTCTTTCATTGGTTACAACATATGCGTAAAATTAACTTGTTTCTTAAACATATATTGTCAATGGTACTTTTGATTGTCTAAAACAGTTTTCTAGTCTTTGATCCGTTATATAATAAAAATTCTCTGGCATTGTGTATCAATTTTTGAATAAGATTAGAATGAACTACACTTATTGAAAATGATATTAAATTAAATATGTGGAAACTATTTTTAACAGCTTGTTTGATTATAAAAATTATTGCACAATTAGTTATAAAATATTGCACACTTGACACTAAGTATTGTACATTTAGTTAAAAACCCGTAACCTTGGGAGAAAAAATACCGTTTCATTCTTAGTATTAAGTATTGCACACATTGCCATTGACAACAAGCATTGCGCATTTACTCCAAAAGAATTGCCCATTTGACACAAATATTAATTGCACATTTGATAAGTAAGGTGTTGCACACTTGAAAACTAAATATTGCATTATTAGTTAAAAAGAATTGCACAGTTTAATCGTAAAAGCATTGTACAAAAAAGGACCGTCACGTTAAAACACACAAGGGGAACCTAACTTTACCCACTAATGGTATAAAAATACTCCGTAGATAATATTTTCATTTGAAATTTATAGCTTATAGGTAATATTTCATTAAACCACGAAAAAACGTACGAAAATGTTACACATTGGAAGATTTCGTGAGCCCAAAAATCAAGGATTAATTAGCTAAGGGCAATAATGGTGCAAATCAACACAATCACGGCAAAATTGATGAGAAACGATTCATTTTCATTTTAAATAACTTTTTTTGGTACAATCATTGAGGAGAAATTCAAATTGGCAAAGATTCACAGCAACATCAACTTCCTTCTTCTGGTGGAATTTATACCGGAGCTGAGAAAGGGAGACTCTCGCATATAACCTCATGCACTGCTAGTAGCATTTCTAATCTCGCAATGCTGTCCTTCTCACGTGAAAGCTACGCCAAAGAAAAATCCATATCATCAGCGCCTTTTCTTCTTGTTCCAAAAGGAGGATTCATAACCAATCGTATTAAAGATTTGTCAATTAATCCATCTTAAATTTCTGACTGACAGTCAGATTGAACGAATTCCATATCTACCTAGAGCTCATCAGCATTTTCAGAAGCAAAATTTTAATAGAATCAGCATCAATGTCAAACCGAACAACATGTTCTGCAGCAACAGCAAGGCGTAATATCAAAAGCAGATCACTTAGCAACATGTCGATCAGGCTAACTTGCAGGAGACAATGGGTAAGGAGGGAGCTGGAGACACATAGGATTTTATTTTATTTTATTTATTTTCTGTATTTTTGTTTTACATTTTTACATGAGAATTTGTGCCGAGCTGATTAGTCCGTCTTGAAATAAATGGTATAATATATAGGCTTGTAAAGCCTGGCGCTAACATAAATGCAAAAAGATTGAGATGATGCAAGAGGACAAGTTTATTTCAATCTTGTAGTACAAGTTATAATGAAACAATAATTTGAATAGTTGGTACCGAGTCTCTCTTCAACCATTCTCCGAATTATCCCAGCATTAAGATCAGCAATGTCCTTCTTGCCTTGTATCATGTGTATGATGCTCAAGTTGTCAACTTCGATTAATTGGATTTGCAAACATTTCCAAGTCATTTTTCATGCGTTAATTCATCTTGTAATTTTACCCCTCCCCCCAACAAATAAAAATGAAAATTTCCTTTTTTATAGAATTAATTAGTACTATTTCTTTTTTTTCTCTGGGTACGTGAATGAAAATGATATTCGTTAAAAATGAAGGTAGAGGGTTTCAATACGCTGAGAAACATGCTTAATTAATTTAAGGCACGGGTACGGGCTCAAAAGGCCTCAAAATAATTGACTTCAAATTGTAAACAGGTTTGAATTTTTCCTGATTTGTTTTGTTAAAAAAATGAATTTTGAGATAATTCGAAACAGGTTCAGAAATCCTACGCAAGAAAGTGGCGTGCTCAATGTTTACATAATTGAAGAGCAATCAATGCACACAAGTGCCACCTCCAAGTAAGGTGGCATGAATATCTACTATATTAATAACTTTTTGACAAGACCAGAAGATATAGACCAAGAAGACTTGGCTCAAACGGGTCCCTAAAACACCATCTCCTACAAATGAAGAAGTCATTAATTAGTTACTCTTCTATCAATCTACTTATAACGAAAGTTGCTTTGGAAGTGAGGTAAGTCCATCCATCCTTAATTTGGACCAACCTGTTTGAATGTTTTGATTGAATTAGTATACAGTTGGTACTTCAAGCTTCGTGCATGGACTATGACATTTTATAAATGGTCCCTCAATTTTGTTCATGACTTCCCCAACGACTTTGAAAAATCAATCCCCCAAGGACCCGCCGAATTTACTCGTTGGAGGGGAACCTGTTGTACAAACGTACATGTGTGTATAAATTGGCGAACTCTATCCCTTAATCAGTACACAATTCTTTCAGATTTGTATGTTTTCCAGTAAACCAACAAAAACAATGGAAGCTCTTCCGAGTGGTTTAGTTCTGCTCACGTTTCTTGTTCATTTAGTTTGCCTAACAATTCAATTCGGTTACATTGAAGGTACTTCGAACCAACCTATTATTGCAAGCTGCATCGACAGAGAACGCCAAGCTCTTCTGGAAATCAAAGCCAGCCTGATTGATAAAACGAATCGTCTGTCGTCATGGAAAGGGCGGGATTGTTGTTCTTGGGATGGTATCACCTGCGACAACACCACCGGGCGCCGTTCAAATGCTCAACCTTAGTGGCCCTTTCACTGTCGACTTCTTTAGTTGTAATGAGAGCTGCTTGGGAGGCAAGATACATCCATCCATACTGAATTTGGAGCACTTGGAGTATTTGGATCTTCACTATAGTAACTTTTCAGGTATCCCGATTCCGCCATTTCTTGGATCTTTGAAAAGTTTGCGGTATCTCAACCTTGGTGATGCAAACTTTGGTGGGGAGGTTCCTCCACATATTGGAAATTTGTCCAACTTGCAACAATTATATCTTGGTGACTCATTTTATCCTTTATCTTCGGGTTCTCTTCTCACTATCAAGAGTCTCAAGTGGGTCGCCGGACTTACTTGTTTAAGAACTCTACACTTCTCCAACACCGACCTGAGTGAATCTCTTGATTGGTTTTCTTCAATAAACACGCTTCCTTCCTTGTCATCGTTGACATTGACAGGTTGCGGATTAATTGATACAGTGCTTTCTCCTTCTGTTTCCCATGTGAATCTCACATCTCTTGTTTCACTTGACCTTAGTTTTAACAGTCTGAACTCGACCTTACCCCTATGGTTGTTCAATCTTAGTAGTCTTGAGGATCTTGATCTTAGATCTAATACTTTACGAGGCCCGATTCCTGACATGTTTGGGAAATTGACCACTCTTACTGAGCTTGTCCTTTATTCCAATTCATTCAGTTCTTCACTTCCTAATTCCTTGTGTGACCTTACTAGTCTCACTTACATGGATCTCAGTTTTAGTCAACTTGAAGGATCAGTTCCTCTATGCCTTGGGAACATGAATTCTCTAACTCAACTTGTCCTTTCCTCCAATTCATTCACTTCTACTCTTCCAGAGTCCTTATGTAATCTTACCACTCTCATTTCCATGGCTATTAGTTATAATCAACTGAATGGATCATTTCCTGTGTGCCTTGGGAACCTGAGTTCTCTGACACTACTGGATCTGGGAAGCAACAAGTTTGGTGGAGAATTACCAAGAGATTTTGGTAATCTCAAAAGGCTAACAGAACTCGATCTCTCAAATAATTTTTTTAACTGTCCGATTCCTTCAAGTTTTGGACAGTTTTCAATGATGGAACGTCTCATTCTAAGTCATAATCAGTTGTTTGGTGCCATTCCTCCAACTTTATTGAATCTTACTAAACTAGGAATCTTAGATATTTCTTATAATTCATTATCCGATGAGCTACTCGGATCTGATCTTGCGAAACTCAAAAGTTTGCGATCCTTACTCTTTTCGAAGAACCAGTTTCTTAGTTTAAAGGTGAGCTCCCAATGGATCCCTCCATTTCAACTTGTAGACCTTAGGATGGATTCTGTTTTCATTGGAACCCAATTTCCTCCTTGGCTTCAAACTCAAAGGAAAATTTTTCGGATAGCACTAACAAATGCCAGCATCTCCGGTTCTCTCCCTTTAGCTGGTTGGTGGGGAACTACCTCTGCCGATCTTGATTACATTGATCTTTCCAACAACTTCTTGACTGGACATCTTCCTGTCTTTGATGTAAAATACACAATAAACTCGCGGTTTCAATTTCTTAAACTTTCTAACAATCGTTTTACCGGTAACATTCCTGAGCAATTATGCAACTTGCAGTCCTTATGGGTCATATCCCTTGCTAATAACAATCTGACTGGAAAGATTCCTCCATGCCTTGGAAACTTAAAACAACTAAAAGTGTTGGATCTAGCGAATAATAGCCTCTCCGGTCAAATTCCATATACACTTGGTAACTTGGGTTGGCTTAATGTGCTGCATTTGAATGGGAACAACTTATTCGGCGTGCTTCCTTCGTCATTGAAAAATTTGACATTTTTAATTACTCTTGATCTCGGCAACAATGAGTTTAGGGACTTGATACCTGATTGGATGGGGAAAGAGTTTTCTAGTTTGCAGTTTCTTAGGCTTCAATCCAACAGTTTTTACGGTAACATTTCAGCAAATCTTTGCCAGTTGCGTTCCCTTCAAGTGTTAAATCTAGCAGAGAACAACTTGATTGGCAGCATCCCTTCTTGTCTTGGCAGCTTGAGTATGATGCTGTCAGGTGATTCCTACGAAGATGATATATTCAGCTTTTATTATGATGAATCATTTTGGAATACTATGAAAGGATTAGATTTGGAGTATTCCTCGAACCTTCAGTATGTGAAATCCATAATGCTATCAGGAAACAACTTACAAGGTGATATCCCTGATGAGTTAATGGACCTTGAATGGCTGCAAAATTTGAACCTGTCCAGCAATAATTTGAGTGGAAAGATCCCAGGGAGGATTGATAATTTAAAGCATCTGGAGTCCTTGGATTTGTCAATAAACCAACTTTCTGGAACTATTCCTCAAAGTTTGGCCAATATTGACACTCTGAGCTACTTAAAATTGTCTTTCAACAATTTGGCAGGTCGTGTTCCATCAGGGAGTCATTTTAATACCTTGAATGATCCATCAATTTATGAAGGAAACGGTGGACTTTGTGGTAAGCCCCTGAAGAAGGTATGTCCTGATGATTCGCCATCACGAGAAAATGCACCTGCAGCCTCTATCAATAACATTGATGACTATGCTGATAAGTTTGAGTTTTCATGGTTTTATTCCGGTATAGGACCTGGTTTTGCAGTTGGTTTCTTAGGGTTTTTCTGTGTTCTTTATCTCAAGAAATCATGGAGACAGGCTTACTTTAGGTTGTTGGAAAATGTTTGTGACAAAGTTAGGGTAATGTTTGCTGTTAGAATTTCTCAGTTCCAAAGAAGGGTCACCTAAAGACTTACTCCATTGACCTGTTGGAGAAATGAAACGTTGCACCTTAATCCGGGTTCTGCTCATCTTCATCGAAATTAGGAAAGGCAGATGTCCGGTTTTTGCCAATTCAAGTTTTTTCTTAATTTTCTGTATTTCTGTATGGATGAATATCAATGAATGTAAAGGTGGCATGAATGTCTGCATGAATTCGTCCATTTCTTTGACCCCGAAATTATATCCAATGAAAAATAAAGTTCAAATCTAGGAAAGCACATAATTGTTTCATCTACCGATCGTAATTTAGGAAATTAGGCCTTGACCTCCTTCATTATACCAAAAATAAATACATAAAGTTCGAGTACGTGCAGTGAAACTTTAAAAAAAAAAAAAAAAAACTATAATCAAATACGTTCAGATCATTATAATTTATATCTCTTTCTAATTCTTCTATTATATCTCCATTGTTTAAGATATATTGTCTAGAAAATTACCTCTTGCATAATCTGTGTACACTAGGAGCACGCTGGATGGATCTTTAAGATTTTCCATTATGTTCATCTGTACATAAGTAAAAGCCTCTTAGTGATTTTAAAATCTTGAACGCCATTGATAAGAAATTAAATAGAGCATTCTGATTGGTCTAGTAGTTCAAACGACATCATCAATTTTAAATTGAGCCTTTTGATCGGTTAATATATTAACATGACATCAGCAATTTAAAACAAGGCTATAATGCTTAATTAATAAAGTTATTTTTGTTTTTTTACCAACCAAATATGTCATTTGCCGAGAGAAATAACTTAATTAATGTGATGGGCTAAACAATGGCGTTTACTACCCAATGTTAACAATTAAAATGTCATTTTTTGCGCCCATTTTTACTGTCAATATTTTCGGCCGCTTTCCATCCCTTCCTTCCCCACAAATCTTCTGCCGTCCCCAAAATCTTATGATTTTTTATTCTTCGTGTGCCTCTAGAAAATAGTTTAAGTTAGCTAAAGTTTGAGTCATTAAAGATTGGGACTCTGTCTTAACCAAAGTAAGGAAAATTTTTATCTCTGTTTGTTTTCCTTTCATGAGGATTAATTATTCTAAATTATGTGTTAAAGTCTCATATATAACTATATTGAAGCAGAATTTGGTACATTATATGTGAACATTCTTCTTTTAGTGTGTTTCTGTTTATTCCATTATCGTAAAATTCAGCACTTAATACATACTAGAGGTGCAAATGATCTTTTTTCCATATTTGCAGGGTGTCCATCGTCAGTAACAGTGAATAATTCCCCTCGCGTAATTGTAGGTATCTCAATGAGTAGGACAGTTGGCCAAAGTACTGAACTGTAGGTGCAAATGATCTTCAAAATACTCAAATACTGAACTGGTCGCGCAACGCGCAACGTGCAACGAGAAAAGTTCTAGTGTTTATATATGTTGCCAAGATACGATTTGCAATTAATTAAAATTCTCCAACCAGTCAGAAAATTTAGAAGATAAGTGATGTATTTCTAGGTTGTGCAAATTTGTGAAAATGCATTGTTTTGAGATATTGTGAGACTTTTTTTCACAACTTGTTTCAGATGTTATTGCTCGGTAAATCATAAGATTCTCAGTATGAATGCAACACTCACAAATGCTTCTTTTCTTGATGAATAACTAGATTCAATGGCCGGGCACTGTTAAATAAGGCACTATATAATTTAGGAAAAAAATTATATATATTATTATAAAGTAATAATTGAAAAACAAATGAAAGCACACATATAAAGTCATAAACATGAATTGGCAATTTGAATTGTAATGACAGAATTTTTTTTCTTTAGTTTTAAGAGTTCTTTTTTATTTGAATTAGAAACTGATTTGTGAAATACGTAATGACTTTGACTTGTTTGAAGGAATCCAAATTCATAGCATTGAGGATTGTGTTGCAGTTCCAGATTTGAAGCATGAATTTAGGGACTAAAAACGGATTATTATAATTTTTTTATGTCTTTTAATAAATTTTTATTCCTATATTTTAGCTACTAATTTTAGTCGGGAAAACATCTTATGCGGCTTCAATGGAAGTTGTTTTCAATAAGTAAAAATAGATATCTAAAACAATGTACCAAACTCAATTTCTTTTCTTTTTTTTTGACAAATAATATCCAAAACAAATTGTGTAAAAGTTCCAAAACGTTTATTTTTTGTTGGCGTCAACATTGTGGTCCACTTAGTAACAACGACGACAAACTACAGAGACTCCAATAACCACTGTTTGAGTTTTTTTTTTCACAATTTGTTCTAGTTATTATTCTTTGGTAAATTTATAAATTATCACTATGCACAAAATGTGTCATCTTTTTTTTCTTTTTTTTCGTGAAGATGGTTGCATCAACTTTTTCTTGTCGACTTTGCAAAATAGACGAGAAAATTGGAAGAGAAAATCCATTGTTTAATGCCTTCGACAATTCTTATAAGATATGATTGTTTTGTTAATAATTCGATTGATTGTATCAATGTAAAATTCAACAAAATAATTCCTTTTTTTTCAATTTAAGGATGTTTTGCGTCAAATGTTTAGTCTAGTTTGCAAAATTGAAAGAAAGTCGATCCATGAGAAATGTTAAAGTTTTATACTATTCTTCAAAATTATATCTATGTTCTTTTGTTTGTAATTAATTAATTTATTTCTATGCATGAAAAGATTACAAGAAGTTATAAATTTTTGTTGACACTATTTGTGTCGACTTTGCCAAATCCAATGTTTCGAATTATTTTCAGAATCCTTTTAATTAGGTGTATATTGTTTGGCTATTCACTAGGTTACAGTATCAAAGTATAAATCACAAAAGGTTTACTTTGGTATTTTGTTTTCACTTCAAATTTTGCGTCGGCTATTTTGTTTTCTAATTAGCAAAAGTACCTCGAGTGTAGAGATTGAAGATCATGAAGTAGCTGATCCACCATGATCTTCTTTCATCATGTCTGTTTGTATATATATAGAATGTGGGGCAGAGTTGTAAATACTTAGGACTATAGGGGCTAATTTTGTAAATAGTTACATTGTATAAGTTACGTATAGCAAGACGTGATTATAGGGGCTAATTTCTCCTTCTGTATATATACGCATACATGAATATGGTGTACAGTTAACAAAAATAATACAATCAGAAAAGAGGATTTTCTTCTTCAAAACTCAAACCCTAACAAACAAATTGTGTTTACAGTTCGTGAATTTTGATTCTCGATTTCAAGATGGTATCAGAGTAGGAGTAATCCTGCTCAGATAGCCATAGAATTAGATAATTTCAACATCTCATAGTTTTCCGCTGCGAATGGTCGAAGGTTATTTTGTTCTTTACTTCCGGCGACATTCCAACGGAATCAATGGTGAATCTCACAGAATCAAGTGGTGCGAATCACATGGATGATATGCAAGGAAGAAGGGGAGAAATCGATAAGGTTCAATTTGGAGGATATCACCATCCTTTGATGATGTTGCCTTCAGACAACTCTGTTCTTACTCCGATTAACTTTCAGCTCACCGATCTGAACTATGTGGCCTGGAGTTATTGAATGAGGTGACCTCTCGGTTCTCAAAACAAATTAGGTTTCATCTCAGGTACTTATGCCAAACCTAATCCTCAAAATCCTGATTATGAGCAAACGATGCGTGTGAATGATAATGTGGTTGCCTAGATACTTAATTTGATTTCTCCTGGACATGTTGAGAACTATACCTTAGCTAAAACTACTTGTGAATTGTGGGAAGAATTAAAGTATAGACATGGTACTAAGTATGGGCCATAGGTGTATCAATTAAGGTGAAAAATTGTACAATCAGTGAAGGAAATGAATCCTTAGGCATGTATTATTCTAGAATCAAAATACTGCGGGATGAACTTAATGTGTTACATCCAGCTGAGGAATGTGGATGTGAAGGTTTTACCTGTGCTCTCAAAACTACTGGTATAAGAGAAGGAAAGAACAGATTGTATTAGTTTCTGACATGTCTAAATGATTGTTATACGGCAGTCAAGAATCAAATCCTTCTCATGGAACCATTACCTGATGTAAAGAGGGCTTATTCCATGGTGTTAACTGTGGAAAAGCAAACTCAGGTTAATGTTGGTTATGGATCAATGCCAGAATAGAATGCTATGAAGGTACAGCAGTCAGATAATCAATTTTTAGATGCAGCTATGATGGTTCAAAGGAACAAGAACAAGACTGTCAATCAGAATGATTACAAAAGAGATAAAGTTGCAAGAGAATTACTCAAATGTGAATACTGTCATATACCACGTCACAATAAAGGAAGGGTGTTTCAAGCTTGTTGGATATCCAGAGTGGTGGTATGGCAACCACAATGAAGGAAAGAAAGGACTATTTCAGGGGCAAAGATCAAACAATCACTTGGCCAATTTGACAGATGCACAGGTTGAGCAACAGCCAGAAGGGATTAATGGTGACAACAGCAGCATGCAGCATATGATGGGAGCTCACCTTAAGCTTCAACAGGATATGGGGAGACTCATGAAAGGAAAGCAACTGGCAGAAGGATATGATAAAGTCAATTTTGCTCATTGCCATGATTTTTCAGGTATGAGTATCTTTCAAGCTCTAAGTTCTTTAAGTGTTTCTAAACAACTATTATTGCTTAGTTTATGGTTTTAGATACAGGAGCTACTGGACACATGAGTGCCCTTTTGAAACTTTTTTCAACCTTTTAGCCAATTAAACAGTTCACACTAGTGTTTCTTCCTGATGGAAGCATGAAGAGTGTTGATAACATTGGCACTGTCATGCTTTCAGGCACCTTAAACCTTACAGAATGTTTACATATTCCCTCTTTTAAATACAACCTCATTTCAGTTAGTAAATTGGCTGCTGCTTCCAAAATTGATTGTTGGTTCTCAACAAACTTCTGTTTGTTGCAGGACCAGGTGAGTAGAAGAATACTTGCAGTGGGTAGAGTCATGAACAAACTTTATGTCTTTGATCATCAGTCTTTTGCACAGGGAACCATTACACAGTTTATGGATACACATATCAACCATCCTTTTGTTTT